ATGGTTATTGGTAGACAAACTATAAAACAATACGATCAGGAGCATTTTTTATAGACATATGTAAGATATTATCCCACAATAAATGTTCAGTCCTTAGAATCTTGAGAACTAAGATACAGTAATTGTACTAACAAGAGGGCTGTGGTCTGACTCCACTTTGTCAAATCAGTTTTGTGACCCCTGCTAAACATTATAATTGTATATTTGACTTTTTACTCTGTCTCAATGTGCTATACATTAACTCAGTTAATAAGCATTTATAGAGAATCTGTAATGTGTCTGACTCCTGGCTAGGTATTGAGGATTTGAGATATGGTCACTGGTCAAAGGAATGTAGTCTTGTGGAAGAGAAAGCCAAATAAACCAGTGATTACCACACCCTATCTAGGGCCAAGGCTAAAATCCTTTAGTAAGGGAGTTTGGAGCCCAGAAAGACATTTGCATTGATAAGGCTAACCTTTGTGTTGCTGCAAAAATGAGTAGTGTGAGGTAGGAAGAACATTCCAGGCAAGGTGATGAGGAGGCACCAAGGCACGGAAGCAGGGATTGGCCTGGTACTTGCAAGGAATGTCAAGTCACATAATTTGGTTGGAGCAAGGTCGAGCATGCTCATTGGAGCTACAGAGAAAGACAGGAAGGCAGCCAGGCCCACAGCTTACCAGGATTGCTATTCAGGGAAGAGTATGGAGAGATGGGATAACCCCGAGCTCTCCTCATTTCTGCCAGTGCTGTTTATGTTTCCCAAGGGTATCACTGGTCTTCAGTATTAGTAATACTGATACCAGAGGTACATGGAACTTTCCCAAACCATGTTTTGGAAACACTATTTCAATTGATATAAAAAAGATGAACTATGACTAGACACCCAAAGCTCATGCTTGAGTGGCTCAGGAGGCCTAGACTTGCAGGATCATGGTTCAGTGCCATTCTGGACAGGAAAGTCTGTGAGACTCCATTTCTAATTAACTAGCAAAATACCAGACTAGAGATGAGGCTCAAGTGGTAGAGCACCAACCAAGTAAGAAAGTCCGGAAAGAACATTTGTCTCAGAGTTAAAAACAAGTTACCAGTACCAAACAACAACAACAACAAAAAAAAGCGCTGCATTTTGTTTCATTTCAGTAGTTAATGGGAACAGTGACTATTATAGCTACCTCTTTCAGATTCACAGTGTCCTTAGCATATTAAAGATTTTCAGTCTTCTAGGACAGAAACCATTTCCGTTTTCTTTAACTTACCGTTTTTTCTAAATTATTTTAATTTAGAACCATCTTTATATTAGTATCATTTTGGCAAACCTTGGACTCGATCTCAAAAGATCAAATCATCTTCATTTGTTTTTGTGGTACTGGGGACCAAACCCAAGGCCTGGTGCATTCTAGGCAAGCACTCAGGTTACACCATTAGCCCTTCACTAATTTTTTTAAAGTACAGAACCAAAAAGATGCTTTTCTTGTTGCTATTATATCCCTGAAATAAAAATCTACTCATTTATGTATTTATAGTAATTTTTATATGGCATTGGCTATCCTGAGATTTAACTCCCCCTCACTTTTTATGTCATCCTCAAACTTTATTACCTGCTAATAGTTTGCAAGAAATACAAATTGAGTTACATCTAAACGAATATCAGTCATTTTAATGTGCTTAATAGAAAATATAATGCATGAAATCAAAGTTTTGCATATTATGGAGTCCTTATTTTCAGCATTGGCAAACTTCAAAATTAGTAATGAGTCAGTAAATCATTTGTAATGCTGAAGGGACCAAATAAATTTTTAAAAAAATAGATAAGACCTTGTTACAAATTTCATGTTTTCAGCATTTATCTGTCAGAATCACTGATTTGGAAACTATAATAAATCCTTGAAAAATAAGAATGTTTTTTTTTCTTTCTTGTAAAAAAAAATTCTCATCATTTTGCAAACTGCAGTGTCATTTTCCTTGAAGAGAATGTAGTGATTGATTACCCAAAGTACAACCATGACAAGGTAAACCAACCAAATAGCTGGAAAATTGTATGTAATCATACAGCATCGCATGGGCGCTGTGTTGAGCACAACGGTTAGAATTAAACTGTGCCGTTCTAATCATTTCCTGCTGATACTTCCTGTTCATTCCCAAACCTTAACCTCCAGGGGATAGAGTGGGGTGTTTGCAGTCATCCCTTCCCCTCCATATGCCCTCAGCCCCATTCTTGTTCCCCCAAAGCGCTGCAGTAAATGGAGCAAATCTCCTTCACCCAGGGAGATTTCAAAATGCAAAGACATCTGTCAAATAAGTGACACTCAGAGAGAGGTTTATTTTTGTATATTAACGTTCCTCAATGATCCAGGTTATCCTAAAGATCCTGAGAAAGTATAAACAAACGGAGAAAGGGGAAGATAGGAGATGGCCAAAAAGAAAATGACATTCCCTGGCCCTCTTGAGAAGTAGACATCTCATGCAGAAGGCTAGACGCTGCCATGGCGGGAGAGCAGTTCTACAAAAAAGCAACACACAAACTGAACACATGAGTCATGAGGGCTACAAAAGGGGTGTGAGCCAATTATCCTCTGCTATTAGTGGCCTTATTGCAGTCATTAGAAAGGAAGAGGCTACCAAAATGGCCTCAGAGATGATTATCAGTAGTGTCATTGGAAATAGAACCAGGCCCTTTCTCCTCATCCTCCATACATTCTCCCAGCTCATCTCCTCCCAGTGCTTTAGATTTGAGGCAGGCTTTGTTAGGATGTCTGAACTCTCCTCTCCTTCTTTAATTACTGTCCACATGTTGTAGGATAGACTGCGTTCTGAATCAGGATGAGGATTTTAGATTCTTCGTAACGTGGGGACATATAGCTGGGCAGAATCAATTCCTGTCACTCACACACAAATACAGAGGAATAGGATTATAGATCAGGGTGAAGCTGCAGTGCTTTAATCTTAAAATCAATACAGAAAAGGAAGTTGAACTTGTGGGGATTCTATAGAGACTGTAATTTGGTTTCCTGTGAGGTTTGCCTTACAGAATATAATGCTACCTCCTTCCCTCCTTCTAATTATTGTACTGGAGCTAGAAGAGAAGGAAGGAAAAGAAGACAGAAACCTCTACAACCTAACAAACTTGAATAAAAATGCAAATGTCACTCATAATCCAAGCTAATCCTTTGTGGTGTTATTTTTTAAAAAAAAAAAAAAAGCTTTTGTCCATTTTATTTTTCAGGAAAAAAAAATTGCCTAAGTTCTGTGGCCCATCCATAGCCTGTATTGAAGCAAAATAAAATGTCTTTGATTCTTTCATAGGTCACTGTCAGCCTGAAAAGTATGTTTAATGTTTGCTTTTATGGCTAGATCTGCTATAGTCTGTGTAATTTTATACAGATAAATATGCAACACACTAGATGCTGATCGAAGGACTCCAAACTGCTAAGCATGTGATTAATATTTACTCCAGTGTAATGCTTCTCCTTTTGAAATAGGGATGAACTAATGGTTTAAACAACTCAGTCTTTTCTTAATCAAAGCTTTAGAGTTTATTGAATATGCCTCTTTTCAGATACAAAACTGATTTGTTGCCTTATGCTTTCTGTATCTAGCTTTAACATAGGCTTATTATTTTTCCCTCTGGATAGTATTTTAATTCAGTTTTAAAATAAGTCTGAGACTGCACTCTGCTGGCTACTGCTATTGTAGCCCCTCTCCCCCACCTCCCCATGGCTGTGTGTTTAAGGCTGTTCCCCAAAGAGATGCTATTGGGAGCTATGGATGGTGGAAGAAGTGGGGCCTAGTGGGAAGTCTTTAAGCCCTTGGAGACATCTTCTTTCCCTCCAGGGCCATGAGTTGAGCAATTTGGTTAGGCCCAACATTTCTGTCTTGCCATGGCCTAAAACAACAGGACTGGTAAGCCAAAATAAAACTTTTCTCTTCATGAGTTGATTATCTCAGTTACTTTTATTTTTTTTACAATCATAGACAGTCGACTAACAAAAATGCAAAATACTATGACTGGTGGCCTAAGAAAATGATGGAACTGTGGGCTGGGGAACTCAGGCCTCATTCTAAGACAGACAGTGGTGAAAAGAGCAAAGCCTGAGGCTCTTGCTTTGTGTTTTGTGTTCTAAGCCTACTCACCATCTTAATGGAGAATGATTATGGGATCTACCTGGTAGGTAAGAGTTTTTAGAAGTCTGGGTTAAAGCATGTACCCTCACATGCCTAAGAGTCCTAAAACGTTCATGGTAATTTTGAGAGTATGTGAATTTCAAGTGAGATAATATGTTGTGTATGTGCAAAGCTACAATACATATTCTAGATGTGTTCCTAATAGATAGTTTTGGAATAAAACTATCATGAAAGAATTTTTCTTTGTATGATGCTTGCCATTTGGTTGTTCCTATCTGCAAAGCACAGCTCTATATTAAGGCTTCCAATGTTGTTGTTTTTATTTTTTTCTTAAGAGCCATTGAGAAGCATCAGCATAGTCATTTGTGTGGTTACTCCTAGCACTTGAGAGGCTCAGGCATGGAGACCGTGAGTTTAAGACCAACTTGAGCTGGTCTTGAGACCCTGTATCAAAACTATAAATGAACAAGAGCACTAATAGAATGAGCAGTTCTGTGATAGAATGCTTACCTTGCATGTGTAGCATATGCCGATCCCTGGGTTGATCCTAGCATCATAAGAGAGGAAGAGAAAAGGAAGGAAGGAGAGGAAGGAAGGGAAGAGAAGAGGAGGAGAAAAGAAGCTACAGAAATACCTTATAAATCTCAAGGATTCTGTGTGACCTCAGTTTGAAAAGTTTTTATCCTAGGTCATTCTCATATCTTGGGAAGGAGCAGCATGTAAGGTATTTATTTGGTGGTTGAATATAGTACACATCTTTAGTTGTCATATCCCTTAGGAAAGCTTCAATGTCTTGAATTGTTACATCTTTCTCTGTCCTTCTTATTCTACACATTTCCTGGGTATAATGTTCTCATGAGTTCTCTGTCCCCTTGTTTGCTTTTGTTCATTTCCAGAGCACAATCATTGTGGAGAAGACAGTGCAAGACCTCATGAACCTGATGCATGACTTGAGTGCATATTCGGACCAGTTCCTCAACATGGTGTGTGTGAAGCTCCAGGAGTACAAGGATACCTGCTCTGCGGCCTACAGGTAGAGCTCCTTGGGGGATTAAGCAGTCTCTGTGAAACATGGTGGTGGTTCTGATAGGTGACTGACTTTCCCCATTATAGAAAAAGAGTGTTCCTAGATTTGTCAGGGGGCCTGGCAAGAACAGGCATCAGAGAAATCGAGACTGAAAGGACAGATACTTGAGACTGCCATTTGGTAGCTGTTGATTTTCTGGAAACCAAGAATTGGAAGAATTGTCTTCCTCCAGGAAAGTCCAGATCTTGATTAGCTCAGTTGGTGGGTGAAAGCCATTTGAAAATCTTAATCTATAAAGTGCTTCTATCCCATTCTTACAAATATAGTCTTCCAGGTATTTGATCTATAGCCTCCTTATTGTCACAAAAAAGGTCAGTCTACCTCTTTTCAGCATCAGTAGAAATGAAAAAAAAAATCAATGTTATGAGCTTGAAAACTGTTAGCCTTCTGATTCCTGTCAGTGCAAAAAATCTCTAGGCTTATGGGAAAGATCATACTACTTCTCATAGCAAAGCAGATAATAGAAACAAATTACGGCTGAGAAGACATGAAACAATTACAGGAGAAAAGCATGTACAGTAAGATTAAATTATATGTGATATACAATTAATGATAGAGGAGTAAGGCTCAGTACATAACTCATACATACAATAAAGACTATAAGGTCAGAACAAAGAAAAGAAAAAACAGGAAGAAATCAGAGATAGAGTGGTAGCATTCAGATATGCTTTGCAGAAGGTGAGCTGCGTGCTGGGCAGGAGACACAGAAGTGGAGAGAATAAACCCAGGCACTGTGCCATGGAAGGGCAGGCACCACCTCCGTGGCCCAGTGTGTGGAGAGAGAGTAGTGAGGGGAAAGTTTGACTGGAATACAAACCTGGTAGACCGTCATAGGGGAGGATGTTGTCTAGGAAAAACAATACCAATCAATGAAGGATCTTAAAAAACAAGACTTGGAAATTTCAGTGTAGATAATGAGTCATGCCAAATGAGACAGGAAGCAGTGTTTAGGAAGATTAATCCAGTAGAGTGATACAATGTAGATTAATGTTTGCCCTCCTCCAACAAGGAATATTTATATATAGTCACAAGGGGCAATTAAAGAAGAGAAGCCCAACCATCCCATTGAGATGCACTCCTAATAACAGTTCGCTTTTGTGTTCCATGATTATTCACCAAAAAATTAATTTACGTTAAAGTCACGCATATAAGCGTTACAATCAACTATATGTTAAATAATTTCAATAGTAATTTTAAAAAGTTAAAATTCACTTCTGCAACTTAGCCATATGTTTTTAGATTTGAATTTATATAAATGGGTTTTATATAAAAGTACATACAATAATCAATAAAAGACTGTCAAGAATAAAAATTTATTCCATTAGAATACAATTCAGTAAGGATGTAAAATACAAATAGCAATTCAATGAGAAAAAGGGAAAATATCCACATGTTACAGATGAGCTTTTTCATGCGTGTAGGTGTGTATGTTATAATCATTTATCATGAAATGATTAAATCAGGCTAATTGACATTACCTCACATAGCTTTTCTTGTGTGATGTGAACATTTAACATCTACTCTTAGCCTTAGCGATTTACAAATACATATTACATTACTGTTAATTAGAGGCACCATGCTGTGTAATAACTACCCAAACATATTTCTTTTAACTGAAACTCTGTACCTACCTTTGGCCTGTCATCTTCTGTCTCAGCCTACCCCAGCTTCTGCTGTCTTCCTTCCCCACTTGTATGCATTTGACTGTTTTAGATTTTTGTAAATAAGTGAGACCCTGTAATATTTCTGCCAGATGACTGGGTATATTTTTAACATTTTATAGCTTCAATACTTACAATATACCAAAAATTATGACATGTCTTTTGCAATTTAAATTCCTATTAAAAACAATTAAGCATGACATATAAACTGTGAGAAGGAAGCCAGATGCCAGTGGCTCACACCTGTAATCCTAGCTACTCAGCAGGCTGAGATCTCAGAAGGCTGTGATCTGAGGATCGCAGTTCAAAGCCACCCGGGGCTGGAAAGTCTGTGAGACTCTTATTTCCAATTAACCACCAGAAAACCAGAAGTGGTACTGTGGCTCAAAGTGAGAGTGCTAGGCTTGATCAAAAAAGCTCAGGGACAGCACCCAGATTCTGAGTTCAAGCCCCATGACTGGCTAAATAAATAAATGTGAGAAGGAACACAGGTGCCCAGGCCTCATAACTGTTAATCCTAGCTATTCAACTTTTGTGATTTGGAGGATTGAAGTTCAAGGACAGCCCAGTAAACCATCCAGGAGCAGGGCTAGAGGCAATGGCTGGAGTGAGAAGAGAGGCCAGCTTTGGCAGAGCAAGACCTTGAGACCAAACCCTAGCCCCTCCCAAGAACATTGCTCAGTCCCTCCCATTATTTCAGCATCTCAGAAAAATTTCCTACATTTATTAAATCTGTCAAAACATTCTTGATCTTAGGGCTAACATACTTGTTCATCATGTCCTTGAAAGCATTCATTTACTTGAGTTCTAGGATTTCATTTATTCAACAAATGGTTTGTTGTTGTTGTTGTTGTTTTGTTTCGTTTTTTGTCGATTATGGGGCTTGAACTCTGGGCCTGAGCACTGTCCTTCAGCTCAAGACTAGTGCTCTACCACTTGAGCTATAGTGCCACTTCCAGTTTTCTGGTGGTTTATTGGAGATAAGAGTTTATGTTTATGGAATACTTATATAAGAGTTCATAGATTGAGCAACCAACCAAATAAATTAAATATCTGTCTTCATGGAATATACATATTCATTTTTAAGCGTTAGTTAATAGATAATGGACTTTAGAAGGTAAGTACTATGGGTAAAAGATCTATAGAGTAGAGTAGGTAACTCAGGGATGTGAGAGAAGGAGACTGTAATGTATTAAATACAGTGTGTGTCTCAAGAAGGCCTTGTAGAGTTGAGCTCTGAGGTAAAACGTATTGGGAGAGTTAGGGAAGATATGTGGGCACAGAATGGCCTGGCCAAGAGCCAAAGCCTAAGGCGAGACTTTGCATGCCACCCTTCAAGAACACAGGACAGCCATCATGGTTGACTCACATGGCCAGGACATGTCTGGGACTAGAGAATGGCCAAGAAGAAACAAGGGTGCTAAGGGCTGCTCTGAGTCAAATGGGCAACTGCAAGGATGGTGCTAAGAAAAGCACAAAACCACCCAAAAGAACCTTAAAATATAAGCATTGGAAAAGCACAAAACCACCCAAAAGAACCTTAAAATATAAGCATTGGAAACAGGAGTCCCAGTTAAGAGTTGCCACAGTAATTAGATGAGACGTGAAGGCAGCTCACACTGTGGGTAGCAGCAGAGACGGAAACCACTGACTGATTATCGACCATGGTTTGAAGTGATAGACAATAGAATTCCCTGCCAAATTGAATATGCTATATTAAAGAAAGGTATCAAGCAGGGTACCCAGGGCTCAAACCTGTAATCCTAGCTACTCAGGAGGTTGAGGCACCTCAAAGGCAGCCCAGAAAGAAATGTTCACTAGACTGCATCTCTAAAATAGCCAGCAAAAAGCAAGACTGGAGGCATGATTCAAGTGATAGGGTGCTAGCATAGCAGCTGAAAGGGTCTCAGTTCAAACCTCCAGAGGTTTGAGGTGTCAAAGAAAAGTGACTCTTAGAAGTATTCTTTCTGGGGCTGGGAAGGTGGCTCAGTGGTAGAGCACTTGCCTTGCATGCATGAGGCCCTGGGTTTGATTCCTCAGAACCTCATAAGCAGGAAAAAGCCAGAAATGGCACTGTGGCTCAGGTGGTAGAGTGCTAGCCTTGAACTGGAGAGCTGAGGGACAGCGCCCAAGGCTAGAGTTCAGGCCCGATGACCCACAAAAAAAAAAGAAGAAGAAGTAGTATTCTTTCTTCATTTATTTATATATTTATTTACTTATTTTTCTTTTTTGGTACCAGTCCTGAGGCTTGAATTCAAGGCCTGGGTGCTGTCCCTGAGATTCTTTCTCTCAAGGCTAGACTCTACCACTTGAGCCACAGTGTCACTTCTAGCTTTTTCTGAGTAGTTTATTCAAGATGAGAGTCTCAACTGACTTTCCTACCCTAGCTGCTTTCAAACCACCATCCTCAGATCTCAGCCTCCTGAGTAGCTAGGATTATAGGCATGAGTCACCAGCCCCCAGCTCTATTTTTTTTTTTATTTAAAGAGAAAAGATAAAGTTGTGGGCCTAAGGCAGGCAGAACAGGAATTAAATTTGGAGTATCTATTAAACGTCCACATGGAGACTGAGAGTAAAGAGTTGGATGCATGCGTCAGAAGAAAAAGGCTCAGCCATCAACCTATGAATGGTAGTTGATGGAATATCTATGGGATGAATGTACATTGAGGCAAAAGAGAACCACAGACTTTCAGAAGTTTACCAGATGAAACCAGCAAGCAGTGAAGTAGGAGGAAAATCAGGAGAATGTGATGTTGTTGGAACTGTAGTAAAGGAAGGGGCAGGTGGTCAGCTGGGTAAAGGGCTGCTAGTAGGTCATCTCTAGAACTAATCAAGGATGGGGTGTTAAACTTCCGGTATGGCAGTGTTTGGTGACTGTCACAAGAGCTGATTCTGTGGAGGACTGAAAACTAGACTGGTGTGGACTGAAAAGAGAAAATGGAAGTCAAGGAACTTCTGCAGTGTGTTTTGCTGCAAAGGAGCGAAAAATGGAGTAGTAGCTGGAAAAGTGAGGTCACATAGTGGCTTTCCTGTTAGTTGATGTGTCATTTTTTAAAGAGGAGAAATAAGTGCATACCTGTGTTTGAAGAAAACAATTTAGGAGAGAGAAAAATCTGCTCATATAGGAAACAGACAGAGGGAATGGCAGAAGCTGTGTTTTTGGCTGAAGATGTTTTTTGGGTTCTTGTTGTCAAAGGGGTGAGATCTATGCATAACTAGAGTTTAGGCAGAAACAAGAATAGTTTGTTTATTGTGTTCCGTCCTACCTAGATATTTTGGTGCATT